AAAAAAAAAATCTAAAATCTCAGTGCTTGTTTTGAAAAAATGTCTGGTGAGTGAAGGTACAAAACTCTATTTCTAGCTCACCTTGAGCTGAAGAGCACAGGGACAGCGCCCAAGCCCAGAGTTCAAGCCCCATGACCGACAAAAGAAAAAAGAAAAAAAAACACTCTATTTCTAAATTAGGAGACTACAAATAGCTTAGGATGAGAGGTAAGCTTTCTCTTGTATTTCCAGCTGGTTACTAGCGATTTGAGAATGCTATTACTGATGTTCCTTAGATGATTTTGCATCCCTTCATTTAAAAAAAAATTAATGAGTTCTCCTGACCAGAGTGTTTCCAATGCAGGAGCCCATGGTTGCCCAGCTTAGGTACCAGGATTATAGAATAATCATCTTTTTTTTCCCCTATGGATCACTTTTGTTTGTGCCAGTCCTGGGCCTTGAATTCAGGGCTTGGATGCTGTCCCTGAGCTTTTTAAGCTAGAAACATTCACACACAAAGAAGCTAATTCTGTGTTTCTATGGGATCCATGATGATTGAGGTGTGCATCCTTTGGTATTCAGCAGGAACTGGTGGTCTTCAGCAGGCCTTGAGGGGCACAAGACACTCTGAAAAGCTTATGGCCACAGTTACTCTGTGTCCACATGCAGTCATATGGTCCTTCCACCCAGCTGCAAGTGACTCTTAAACATGTAGTTCACACGTAGTCCAGTCCATTCAGGACAAGGACAGAAGGTGGGGAATTCCAGGGCTTGCAATCTACCTTTCCTAGCAGAGAACTGTCTCTCAATACAGAGTTGTTAATTTTTTTTAATGTAAAGTCTTACCTCAATTTCAATGTGTTTGCCACTCAAACTCAGTTCAGTGTTACCGACTAGAGTTTGACATGAACTTTGACAAACTGATTCTTAAAGTCATCTGAAAGGGGAAATGAGGAAAAGTAACCAGCAGTCCATAAAACTATATACTAATTAATGTGGAGTTGTTGCAAAAATCCATAAATGATTAAATAGGAAATCCAAATGGTGTATACATATTGTACATTAGAATGTAATATTGGACAAAAAGCCATTTCAAGTAATTTAGTGAACAGATAGACCCTCCAGGAAATTGTCTATGCTTTTAAAATAATTTTCAAAATCACCACTGCTACAATACACAAAAATCCACTGATATTAAATATGTGAAGATGACAAATTTATAGCAGTGCTAGAACAACATATAGAAAAATATTTTTACCATCTCTTGGCTTCCTGAACATTTCACAAAATTTGGAAACAATAAAGAACAAGAATGTAGAGGTAATCAGACATCAAAAGCAAAATTACAGTATAAGCCCAGACTTGAAGAAAATGTCAGTATATATAGAAGGGTAAGAATAGCTATGCAGAAAATATGCAGAGCATACACAAGCCAATGAGAAAAAAGACAAATAGACATATCATAGCAGGAAAATGGCCAAAACATTAGAACAATTGCTAAAAGGAGAAATACAAATACCCATAACATGAAACTATGTTGGACTTCACCAGTAACTAAAGAATGCAAGTCCAAAAAGAATGAATTATTTTTCCTATCATAGCATGACAATAATGATCATGAATGATGTAGAAAAATCAAGACTCTCACTTTCTCATTCATCAGTGATGGGATGGTAAACAGGTAGAGCCTCTATGGACGGCTATTTAGTAGATTTATCAAAAATGTTAAATTCATAAAACATTGACCCAGCAATTTCTCTTGTAAGAATCCATCAGAGTACATACTCACAGAGTGCACAGTGATATATGTACAAAGATCCTTATTATGACGATGTGTGTAATAACAAACGGCTCTAACAGCCAAAGTGCCCATCAATAAAAATCAGCTAAAAGCAATACTGTGCATTTATACTGTATAATGTCAAAGGAGCATTTTAAATGATAAATCTGCTAGTAACTTAAAAAACATATCCAAGAAAGAGTTAGGAGCAAGTGTATATATTGTAACAATGTACAGTTCACTTATACTAATGAGTTTATTATATATTAAAATAGACATACATATATAGTGTATCTTATATAATGTATGCATATAATGGACATTTAAATGTGTGGAAGATTACCTTAGAGGAATAGGTTGTAGATAATAGTGATTACCACTAAGATAAGACATATGGAGTAGGAAATGAAGACCTTCCACATTTTACTCTATAGACTTCGATAATGCCTACTAATTTAAAACAATAATATGTTTATTCCTAGGTGCATAGGCATGTGAGCATATGGAGGGAGAGGGAGGGAGAGAAAGAGAGAGAATTTTAACAGTCTATCAATTAAACCATTTCTTCTTATGTACTGGGAACCTCCATGAGATATATATGGATCCATGGATGAAATCAGATGTTATGGAACATTTACCCCACTTTTCCTAGGCATTCAAATTACATGCATAACAACTATACTAAGGTGAAGTTACTTATATTTAACCGATGTAAATAAAGGGGAGAGTAGGGGCTGGGAATGTGGCTTAGTGATAGAGTGCTTGCTTAGTGTGCATGAAGTCCTGGGTTCAATTCCTCAGTACCACATAAACTGAAAAGGCCAGAAGTAGTGCTGTGGCTCAAGTGGTAGAACACTAGCCTTGAGCAAAAGAAGCTCAGGGACAGTTCCCAGGCCCTGAGTTCAAGCCCCAGGACTGGCAAAAAAAAAAAAAAAAAAAAAGAGTACATATAGAAAAATAAAGGGGAAATACCTCCCCCACAGTGTAACCCCCGCTTTCACTATATTTGATGTCAGTATAACATGTGGAGGAGAAGGGGGCAAACAAGTCGTTTAAGGATTCAGGTGGACCTGTTGCAACAATGAGAAGTACAAAATGTCATGTCAAAACCAACTTTACAATGTCGGTGTGGGGGGGGGGGGTATGATTGGGTGGGGGGGGAGGGGGGAGGCTGGGAAGGGAGGTGAAGGGTAAACAAAGGAGGAGGCTGCAATGCTTGGTAAGAAATGTATGCGTTATCCTGCCCATGTAATTGTAACCCCTCTGTACAGTATGTTCTCAAATAAAATAAAATTAAATTAAAAAAAGAAAAAGAAAAAGAAAGGGGAAATAGATTTTTACCAAGAACTCACCAGTCCCCTTTCTGGGCAATTTTTCTCTGTTTTTTGAGGAGGAACTTGTGAACATTAGTAAGAAAATCAGTGCATCAACACATTCCACTAGTCACAGGGGGCAGCTGGGAAAGAGTGACAACTTGGCTTCATGCATGAGAAGTTTCTGCCTTTTTACTAGAGTGATCTTGGGTCAGATCTTAGGTTCAGCTTGTCTATTTTCTGCTTCTCATTTGTCTTTGTGTGTAGTATCCATCAGATGTTTGTTCCAGCAACCTGGATGTATTTTCTTTCCAAATCACCTCACAGAGCCTCTGCCTTGTCCCCCGGGGTTCCTTAGTCTCTTTACCATCAATCCTGATGGATCTCACCCTACCCTGTGAAGAAATGCAAATGCGAGAGTGTCTGCTTCACTGCTCTCTCAACTTTAACAATCCAACCTGGGTCATGTCCTGTAAAATAGAAGCCATTGAAGTTAGAGGAGACAAGAGGAAAAAAAAAAATACTGGGCTATTCAATAGACTTGAATTTGAATGCCAACTTTCCCCCTCACAGAGATAGGCTGAGTGTTTGGATTCTCATTCTGCATAAGTGCACAGAAGGGATCATGATGTTGCATTTTTTCATGGTTAGAAAATAAATATATAAATAAATATGAAGTTATCTAGTGGGGGGAACTTGCCCAATGAATAGAAACATCCCCATTGCCACTGAGAACTATGATTGTGTTTGTTATGCACATGGTTAGTCCTTTATTTGTAGTCAATACATGATGGGATGTCATGGCATCTTGATGAATTACAGTAAGATGGGAAGGTCTGCCCTGTTTCACATTTGAGAAAATTGGGGAACAAATATGTGAAGGGACTTGCTCAGGTCCACATGGGCCACAAGAAGGTAAAATGGCATCGGTACAGCTCTGCTTCTGAATTGATCGCTCATCTGCAGGGACCTCTGCTTCTCTTTCCTCACCCCACCCCTTCCCTAGGGTCTTACACTTCCCTCCCTTCCTCTTTTCCTTCCTCCCACTTTCTTGCCCTTCTTACTTCCCTTCCCTCCTCCATTCTCCCTTCCCTTCTCCCCTCTGTCCCTCCCTTCTTTCCTTTCTTCCTTATGCCTTTTCTTTTCTTCCTTTCTTTTGTCCTTCCTTCTTCCATCTCTCCATGTCTTATTCCCTTCCTTCCTCCTTCCTTGCTTCCCTCCCTCCATTCCTTGCTCCTTTCCTTCCTTTGTCCCTATCCCTTCCTTCAGTCCTCCCTTCCATCCTTTGCACCTTCACTCCCTCCCTTCTTTCTAGATTCCAAATTCAGAGCTTATCTGGTCCACATCTTTTTCTATTCCTGCTTCTAAAGGATAACAAGGGTCTGGCTGGCTCTCAGGAACCTCATGAAAGCCCCAACAGAGGCTGCTAACATTGATGATTAAACAGAAGTCTTGGCAGATGCTGTGTGCACTGTCCATGGTCCTGAAAAGGTCACCTCCGAGTTACAAGGGCAATAGCAAACTTGTATTTGCTACAGTGTGCAACCTCAGTTGACAGATACACTGGGAATAGATTCTTATTCGAGAAACTAGTTGATAATTCCCCATGAATTGGCCTGTCATGCTTTTCTAAGTCTGTGTGTTCATGGAAATCCGTTTTTAAATTTGCTTTGTGCGTGGATGCACACACCAGTCTCCTCCCTGACTGCCTCAAAATGTCACAAATGACTTTCCCTGGATTTACCAATTTGCACGATTAATGTGCTTTTCTCCAGACACCTGTGCCCTAGATACATTCCAACCAGAATAGCTGCCTCTGTTTCTAAACTCTGACCTGTTTTTAAGCAAAGGAGACCGTGGTTTTAGGTCACCTCCGGTGGGGCCATCCGAAGTGTAGAGCTAACTCCCAGTTGTGTTTCCTCATGCAGCTGTGTGGAGGAGTACAAGCTGGCTCCAGATGGGAAATCCTGCCTAATGCTCTCAGATGTTTGTGAAGGCCCCAAGTGTCTCAAACCCGACTCTAAATTCAACGACACACTCTTTGGAGAGATGCTACATGGTTACAACAACCGGACCCAGCATGTGAACCAAGGACAAGTGTTCCAGATGACCTTCAGGTAATGGGGCAGACATTTGCACATTCCCAGTCAGAATCCAGATTGGGTGGGAGGAGGGAAGCCATAGACAGAGTGGGGTGCAGATATGCACCTCACCATCCCTGGCTAGACTCAGTGAGGCATACCCACAAAGGGCCAGAAGTCGTCAGCATTCATCCTAGAAGACATCTTTTCTCTGACCTCCAACATCTCTGTCCCACACTCCCATTTTTCTAACTCTATTCACATATTCGAAATTCAATCTTAGGTCCTCCTGTAAGTACAGTTAATGGAATTTGTTTAATTAATTAATCTTTTAGTCTATTAAAAATAGATATCCTATAGATGCTATGTGGGCAGTTCAAAAATAGAGACACTTAATGAAGTAGAAAATGAAAATCATGTCACTCAGAAATACATGATATTAACATTTTTGAACACTTACAAACACTTACAAGCCACCCCCTTCCTCTCTATCTTCATGTGCACGTGTGCACGTGCGTGCTCGCTTACACACACACACACACACACACACACACACACACACACACACACACACACACACACGTCAGATCTCAGTAGAGCTGCTCAGATGTTGCTTTTCCAAAAATATGTCAGAGACCTTTTCCTCTGTTCATGATACATTGGTACATGGGAAACTACAAGATGAGAAGGAATGTTAATCAAATGAGAGAGAGAGAGAGAGAGAGAGAGAGAGAGAGAGGACAGCTTAGTTTGGTTGGATTACCCAAAATTTAGACCTATAGATCAATGATAAATGCTTCCCCAGACAACTTAAGAAACTAGAAACCATTCTTCCTGGAGAAGAGAGAGCTTGGATGGAATTTATTCATGCTTCAAAATCTGAGGATTCGTTGGATTGAGAGAAGGCTTGTTCCATGTCTAACAAATGAATTCTCTAAAAACAAAAGGCTATCATTTCTAGCAGTTTTTTTTTAATAAAAAAGGATTAGGTAATTTACAGTTACTCTTATCATTGAAGGTCATGTGTTAGAAAAAGAAAAGCTAGAAGTAATAACAAATCACTACCATAGTCATCATTATTATCATTATCCCCACCCCTTCATTAAGAGTGGTGTTCATTGTAATCAGATAGACAGTGTGGTTACTGGCTCTTAAATTTTTCCCTATGACAAGCAAATCATTACTGCAAACACTGCAAAGTGTTAGCAAAGGCTTCTGACATCAATTCAGTAGTGCCTAGGGTATTTACTGCATTATGAACACTTGCTTGTGTAATCCTCACAACAATATAGAGAAATAGGAACTATTATCATCCCCTTTCCACAGATGAGAAACAGAACTTTAAAGTAACTTCCTAAAGACTTCTCTTTAGAAATGGATAGAGCTGTCTTAGCTTCTTTATTCAACACGTTTGAGAAAAACCAGTCTCCACTTCTCAGGTGAGCAGTCAATAGCAGAGAGATTGACGTTCTCGACTTCACCGGGCTGTGACAGGCAGGGTCCCGATTCACATGTAAGTCTAACTCTAGTGCCTTGCTGTTATCTTTTAATTCAATTCCCCAACCCCTATCTGCCATGTTAGAGAAAGGAATAAAATATGAATTCAAAAATATGAATTTATCCTTGTGACTACATGTCCTCTGACCATGTCCTGTGCCCCAGGAACCAGGCTCATTTTTGAGGATACAATTGAAAATGAGATACAAATGACCCCAGATGCCCTGGCACTAAGACATAGCTGAGAGGGGAAATTTTATCCATTAGTCTAATAAAGTAGTGATAGAGGCTCTCCGGAAAGCAATTAACAATGGAGTTCAATATAGTTTGAGCAAAGGCACAAGAGTGCTTCTTTGGATTATATAGCAGTAGTGATACTCTATTGGTTGTTCGGATGAAGTGTTACTTAGCCAATACCTGGTAGATTAACTAAGAGTGAGCCACAGAAAAGATTAAACAGAGGAGGGGCTCTTGCAGGACAAGTCTTCATTCTAACAACCCTGAGAGAACTCTTAGATCGTGTAAGAAGAGCTTAGGCAACGATTGCTTTGCAGTTTGCAAACTCATGGAAGCTGTGCAGGAAGTAGCATACACAGAAGAGAGTGGACTGGGGATGTCAAGTAGGTATCTATTGTGGATGCCACATGAGCATATTGGTGGTTTCAGCTAATGGTCCCGAATTAATATTGGCAAGAAAAGGGAACTGGGAAGAAAGTTCTAAGGTCCAGTGAGCAGTTGCTAACAAATGGAAAGTTTAGGAGAGAATTCCAGGGTGATAAAGTAGCCTGCTTACCATTTAATAGTTTACTGGCAAAGACGATTCTCTAACATTCAGCATAAGGTTCTTCCTACTACTCAAATGCTCACACTGAGGCTGAACACAACTATGCTGGAAAATCTCTGGGAGAAATGTTCAGTAGCTAAACTATTACTCAAGGATGTGATTCTGCAGGGCTTGTTTCCTATCATTTTAATGCTCTATGAACATGTCTCAAGCATCATGATGGATAGAATAATGCTGCTTGTAATTCAGAGGAAAAAAAACAAATAAATGATCACTTCGCTTTGAGGAAAGAATTTACAAGCACGAAAGATGACACGCACAATTGAAAAATAATAGCAAAATTTAATTTGCAAGGCAATATTCTAAGGAATACCCATTTTTCCCAAAGATTTATCATGTGAAGGCTTTTGAAAGGAATTAGAAGGAAGCCTAAAGGACTTCTCGGAGGACAAAGCTTGAGGACCTCTTGGAGTATGAAGTAATTGCTAAGAATGGTGCCTCTTGGGAAACAGCTTCTGTCCGTGAAGGAGTGACCAAAGGCCAAGGCATATAGACAGAAGGGAAGAGAGTAAAGCAGACCTCCAGACACACCAGCCTTCAAATCTCAGCCCCAACCACATCAAGCATCATTTCACCACCTCCTTGTGAACAGGAGGTATTATATATTTTTAAATCAGGTGCCAGGCACTTTGCATGTTTGATGTAGATTGATTTCTCGCAGCAGTCATTAGCTGGCATGAGAGAAATGATCAAACATATTACTTTCCACTCTACTTTGTAAAGATGAGCTTCTTTCCAAGGGAGGACCCACATAGGTACTGAGATGCTAACTACTGAAGGGACTGCATGGATGCCTGGGCTCTCATGTTGCCTTTGGGGTAGGAAAGTGATCACAAAGCAATGCACTGCTGGGCTGGACCAGCCCCCTAACTTCCCACTACCAACTGGCTGATTGGAAGATTGTGTAACCCAAACCTTGATCTGGGAGTGTCCAGGATCACTTGGAATTTTATCCTCATCAGAAGTCAACATTCTGCCCAAAGCTTTCTGCTCATTCTTCTCAAACCCCCAACTTTGGGTTGTTTTTCAATAGCCAGGTCCTGTGTCTGCTCTATCTGCTCATAGATGGGCACAGGGGACATAAAAGAAGCAAACTGCTAATAACCACATCAACATTTGCGGTGTTACCCAAACCACTACTATAGCAGAGTAATGTATTCTATTCAACCTTTCTCATATTTGTCTTTGGTTAAACTATTCTTTGCAACTATTTCTATCTCCAGACTGTGTACCCTCTTGGGGGTGGGGGTGGGGGTCACAAGATAAGTCAGTTTTCACTGTGAGAAGGCAAGCTACTTTGGATGAATCTGAGTGGATGGGTTTTTTCAAGTCTTTCCTCCTGAGCCCCAGACAGGACTGGAAAATCTAAAGCAACTTTGTCCTCCACATTCCAGAAGGCCTGTGAGATTTTTCATCATCAAAAGCAGTTGTCATTTCTCACCACCCCCTCCTCCTCCTCCTCCTCCTCCTTCCTTCCTTCCTTCCTTTCCTCTTCCAAGTACTCTCTGGTCCAGCCCTCGAGAGTAGCCAGCAGGCACTGCCACCAGCCATCCTGCCATATGCCACATTTTATCACAACTTCCTGGCCTTGGAATCTCTTATCGACTAATGAATGTTCATGTGACAGTGATATCCTGCTTTGCGGTCCTCTCGTGCCCTCTCCAGATGACCACATGTAGCTAGAAATTTCTGTGTTTCCATGTCTCCTCATGAAACTCTCTGAAAGAGCAACCTGAGTTTCTGCTTCAAAATTTAAAATCTTCAACTAAACAAAGTGCTTAAAGATTAACTAATTCATGCCTAGCCTTTTATTATTTGGAGGAGATTGGAGAAACTGAGGTTTAGGCAAGATCTATCTCTCCTAGTGCTCATAATGATTTAGAACTTCTCTGGGTCCAAAAGTTAAGAGCATCTGACTGCCAGATCATAGATCTTCTTGTTTCCAGATCTGCACTAACAAATGCATGCAACTTCTTCTTATCTCATATTAGCATGTGGTAAAGACAGCCATGTGTTCCATCTTGCTTCCAGTAAAGAGGTAGAAGCCAGGTGCTATGGGGAAGATGCCAAACTCCCAACTAAGGAGAACATTTTTAGACAAAAGCGCCAATGAGAGGCAACTTCTTCAAGCAGATGCATGTTGGATCCACTTATTTCTAAAGGATGCACCATTAGAGATGATTAGGGGTCGTGTACCCTGTGTGAGTAGCAAACCTCATGCACACAGAGAAACATATAGATAGACAGAGACAGGACAGAGTGCCAAGAGACATTAAAGAAACATGGAGAAACAAGGAGAGAGAAACAAAGATGGCAGACACTAAACACAATGGTGGATGGGGGAAGCAGGGAAGACCAACATAGAAAGAATTCAAAATAGATAGAAAGCTTATAAAAGGACTACAGAAATCAGGAGCTAGGTGTCAAAGGATGAAGGCGTGGGGATGATGTGAAGGATGAAAGGGTCCAAGAAGAGACCTGAAGTGATAGATTAAGGACATTGAGTTCAAAAAAGTCCAAGTATAGTTAATTTTCTGGGAGGAGCTAAGGACTTCTTTAAGAGACTGGAGAGTGCTGAGAGAGATGAAGAATGAGGTTCAAATGGACATGAATGGATATTAAGGCCTTTGGTAAAATGTCAAGTGCTATGAAAATGCGAAGAGCCAATGATCTCACATCTGAATTGCCCCTAAAC